CGAATCAATCCCGCGAGATCAACCGCTGAAGAATATACATTCACAACACGCGGGATACGCGCGGCTCGAAACCATTCATCTTTCGTCGTAACGTTACCCGCTGCGGATGATGATAATGACGTAAATCAAGATAGCAATATCAGGCGCCCTGTCAGACGTAGCTCGACGTTCACCGCAAACTCCTGCCTCGTCCTGTCCTGTGAAAGGACACGGACGATGCACGCGACTCGCCCGGTGCGAACGACAATGTTCAAATGCTCGTCCGCCGCGCAGAACAAACGCGGTCGCGAATTCTCTCCTCCCTCCCCTCCCCCCGTGATTAATACGAGCAGCGGCTGCTGGATCTCGACTAAGAGGGTTGGGGAAAGAGGTGGGGGGGGGGGCGAGCTGTAATTTCCAGCTGGAAATTAGAACGAACGGCGAAACGGAATCTTTGCGTTTTCGCGATGGTCGGCGCGCGAGATTGCAATCGACCGGCTAATTTTGGAAAGCGATAACCGAGCAAAGGGGAGGGGGGGCGGGAGGGATCTAGAGCCGATGGGAGCTGCAAGCTGGCCCGTTTAATTTCGAAGCCAATCAGCGAAAGGGACTCCACCGTTTTATCCTCATCTTCTCTCCTTTATGTTTCGCCTACGGTTTAGGCTCGTTCGTTGTCTCTCCTTGCTCAAAAGTACAAGTACACGTGCATAGTTTGAGAATCTCTTTCGATAGTCACTCCGGCTCACGGTGGAGTTAATAGTAATTGAATTTGTATTGGAGTGACGTGATAAACGAAGTAGCAGGTTTGTGAGTATGAAGAGAATGATATTTATTAGCCATAAATCCAGCCTAACGACATTGATTAGTCATAAACCTAACCTAAATCTAACCTAAACCTGATGGTATTAATCGTGAGTGATATTTGTTGAGTCACAAACATGAATCATAACAGGTATTATTCGAAATGTTTACAGAAAGGCATTCAATCATGCACATTGAAAACTTTGTATCTTTCGCATACTCCATTAGCGTTTTTTTCTCTTTAGGTCACAATGATTAGAAGACACGCATGTTTGATCCGTTATTACATGCATCAGTATTTTTGTATATTAACAGCGATGTTTATAATTATTTTTATTTGACTAGCACGATGTTACACAATGATTGGGAAGCTTATTCTACGATTGACCTCATAAATAGAATGATTTTTCCGATTGCAATCCAAGTACTGGCGATGAATGATAATCAATCAAAGAGACACAGACTGGAAAGATTAAATGATTCTTGTTGACATCAGAATCTTGAAAATATACTGTGCGTCGTATTTGTTTGAAGCAAACTAGAAATAATAATTTCAATTAAATTGGCAAACACGAGAAATTTCAACGTTTTCGTATATCTCCGAATATTTTTGTTTGGTCATCTTTCTGCCAGTTTCGAAACGTACAACAATTTCTAAATTTCTTATCATCTGACAAAAACACGGCAAACACCGAATATCAAACGACGTAATGACACTTTTGCGAAAGGAGGGAGACGTGCATCCCAGTTTTCGCAATTTCGCCGCGTTTGATTCCGCGAAAAAAGCATCAGGTAGCTCGGCGGTGACTCGATAATTATCGATCGGGCAGCGGGGAACAGAGGGGAACACACGGTTCTGAACCCCGCGAGTAAAAACCAGTCAAAAGCAGATGCCGTAAATAGCGATGTAACGTTTCTCCACGCGGAAAACGTTTAATAAGCGGACAGCCGGCTATTCGGCTATATCCCGGAGCGATCTCGTCCCGATTTTCTATCTAAAACCGTTTCCCTGTCTCTCGTTGTCTGTTCTCTCTCTCTCTCTCTCTCTCTCTCTCTCTCTCT